GGGACGTATTTCAGTGGAGAGGCTAATCGTCACCAGACAACTTCAATATGATATGGCACATCTTAAGGATAATATGGACATTTTTAGCATGATAGTCGTCACTTCTTTGTTACCTTGATGACGGAAAGTGTATTTTGCTTATCAATGGCTCGGTAACACGTGAACTGTAGAAAAACGTCACGCGTGACGTCACCGGTAGAGCGGGAAGCCACTTTCAGTCAATAGGCAATAATGCCTAGTTCACACTGAAACATCCGCTTTCTACAGCGACCGAAATTCCCCTGCCGCCGAAACACAGAGTCGTTCGCACTGGACGCGGTCCGCGCCGCCGAATCTGCCATTTACTACGGGGCGAACACGGGATGGATGCGCTGTCACCCGGTTGTTGTCGCGGCTCGCAAACGCTACTACGCTATCTGGTAGTGTATACTTCGACGATTCTCGTACGCAAGAAGCAAGAAAAGACAGTACGGCTTACTTTGCTGGCAAGTGGCTGTCTTGCAATGCACAAAGAGCAGAAAAACCACCGACGCCAGTGGCGTTAGTGGGTTCGTTTTGCTGTGCAAGACCGCAACAAGCTCGGTCATGCCAACAGCAAGCTCGGTCACCTCTTTCACGAAATACGGAGGCGAAGTAGGCACAGAGTAGGTTAAACTCCCGTTGGTTTCAACATTCAGTTACGTGCACTGCAGCATAACAAGTGAGTAGGGCTTGGCCGCCATTTTTCAAAATTCGTTGACTAGCGCTCCTATTGGTCCGCGGTTACCGATTCGGCGGCAGACGCCGCAAAAATCAGTCCGAGAGCGATCGGCGCGGGGAGGGCCCTTTCGGCGGATCTCGCCGCCGCCGAACCGGATTCGGAGCACTTTCGGCGGCCGGAATGCTCAGTGTGAACGCGGGCTAATGGCGACAAAATAGAGAGAACCGGGCGGTGGCCGGACGTGACGCGTGACGTTTCCGTTCACGTTACGTGACGACGAGTTGATGTGTCCGCACTGAAGCAGTGTTTTGGACTTGGGTCGAAATGTATAAGGAAAAAAAAAAAGGCTACAGTTTCAGGCCGTGAAAGCCATGATGTCGGATAGCGAAGCTCTTTGGGGCGCGGATGTCTTTGATTGCCTAGCGAGATCACGTGAACATCGTCATCATCGTCATCTCAAGGATCATCGTTTCGCTCTATTTATTTTTTATTGACTTTCCTACGTTGAATGTGTTGCGACTTTTACCGACTACTACTACTACGTAGTAGTAGTAGTATTGCTGCTGCTGCTGCTGCTGCTGCTGCTGCTGCTGCTGCTGCTGCTGCTGCTGCTGCTGCTGCTGCTGCCACTACTATTGCGAAGACGACGCCGACGGCACAGGGAACCTAAGACAGCTCCGCCATAAAATTTAGTGGGATATACCTATTATTCACTCCAGGGCACCTGAAAAGAAGAAAATGAAAAACCGAGTCCTCTCCCCACAGAAACAGCAGCAGCACAAAGAAGATGACGAACGAGAAATGGCAGTGTAGCTGTTACATAGCGCTATGACATGTTCATGACGCATCGTCGTGAGGGTCATCATTGCATTGAGTCACGGTCGGTGCAGCCGTGCTACGCCGAGCGTGATAGGTCGTCGGGCGGCTCTGAGCGGCCGCGGGCTGAGAGTGCGGACGTCGACCTCGGTCGGATGCTGCGGCTCGTCACTTGCCACCTCGGCTATGACTCGGCTGCGTACTACTGCGCGGTCAGTTCGGCTTCTTCCGGGGGTGAGGGCTAGTTGCATAGGCTGCAGCGAACAGGGCGTGCCTATATTGGGAGCGTTTTCGAACCTATAGGAACCGCGTGTCTGACGGAAACAAAACTCACGTTTGCAGTTCGCGAATACACCGCAGACATAACACCGGAAATGTAGGATGTTGCTTGAATACTTCTGATATACTTCATAAAATGCACAGGCCCTTCAAAGAAATACTCGGCCCTTGACACCTGTATATAGGTTTTACACTAATTTATAGAGCCTTACTTGCCCAAACTGCAATATGAATATGAGGCGCGTCGAAGTGGAGGGCTCCGAAAATTTCCGAACACCTGGTGTTTTTTAACAAACATTGACCTCGTACAGTACACGGATTTCTAGCATATATTGCCTGCATCGAAAAGCGGCCGTCACAGCCGTGCTCCTTCATCGTGTATCAATGTAAACGAACGCCTTTACGAAAGATTTCCCCTTACCTAAAGGTCTGCATATGCCTGAAAGTCGGACACCCTAAAGTCCACTGGAAGAAAGGATTATCTATAATCTCGCTCCTGGAAAAGTTCCATTCTGTGAAACCAGATCCCGCCTCTGCTTTTCGAACTTTATCACAACCAAGGAATGTAGCTAGCCTTTCAACGGAGGCCACGGTGCTGTCATAATCCCATCTGGAGCCGTTGCGTAATCCCCCCCAAAAAAGTCCCACATGCCATAGCAACGGCGTGTTCATCAGAGGAACCGAAGCTAATCACAGAGGCCACGAACCACCTGAAATGCCGTGTTGCGTTGGCGCAACTTTCCGCAAAGCGTCCTTCGCACTCATAAAACTTGGTTACAGAAACGCACTCTACTTTTAAAGGGCTTGGCACCTCAGAATACCCCCTTTTGTGGAATAGAAGGCTCGTTGAGACCACGTTCGGCACTTGGACGGGCCGAGGCCAAACGCCAGCGACGATCTGCACGCACGGCGCTGACTAGGTGACGTCACAGGTGCGTTGCTTCTCCTCCTCTCCATCGCACTCCGGAATGTTCTCACTCGCTGAGAAATCAGAATGGTATGTGGTTGCCGCCGCTAGTGAATATAGCATACAGTTGGTGCAGTAAATAACCGTATCCTGTTTGGCAAAAAGTAAAAAGACACAAAGCAGTGCAGTTGCCGCACGAACTAATTGAGTAAATCCCATCATGCTGTAGGCGCTGAAACCTGCCATAAATTCGTTAATTTGCAAGTCAACAGCAAATACAGTCATACTAGTCTATATATAAGTCGGGTAAATCAAATCATTCTTTATATTAACCTATAATTAAACACGGCAATGCTTCAACATCAATGCGCAGAAAAAAAATAAAAGTACCGATACATCGAACAAAAATAGGCGCAACACTTCAGGGGCGTAGGTTGAAATTGTTTTCGTGGGAAGTGGGGGGGGGGGGGGTACAGGGGTACACCCTTGAAATGGTCATTTCTCGCTCTTCATGCCATGACAAAAAAAATTGCGGCGGAAGAGGCACGGACTTGGTGTGCCAACCCTGGCTACGACAATGGAACACTTCATATACCAAACAAACGCGAGAAGCACCTATAAGTTGGCTTTCCCTCGCGAATATTTGGCTTTTTTACGTTTAAGGGGACCTTTCCGCAAACATTTGGGAGAGCGAGCGACGTGATTAGGCGGATGCTGCGTGTATCCTCTATAAGTTAGTGCCTGTCATCACGTGGTTACTTGGACGAGTCTTCGTCGTTGAGCTGCCGGCCTGTGGTGGCGTTCCCGTCTCCACTCGTTTTGTTGACGCGATGGATGCCGCAAAGCAGAGGGAACTGCTGTTCTTCGTAAAGCTGGCGACAGTCGAACATTGTGAAAAGAAGCAGTACGTCGCTGCTGATTAGAGCATCCCAAGAAGTAAGCTGCATTTGAAGACAAGGCCGACATTGTGCCAATGCAGACTAGACGTTTCCAACTCCCGATGAGTGCACACAGCTAGACATGACGATGTTGACGCGCTATTTAGATGGATACCGCTTTTTCTATTATTTTTTTTCAAATATAGGTCACTCTTGCATATAACCCTGCTTTTCAAATTATAAACAGAGGGAAAAAAAGAAAACAAAGAATAAACCCCGCTTATTGCTTTGAAGGAGTCTTCCATATATTGTTATCTTCGGGAGTGCAGTAAAATCCAACTTGCACACCAAAAGTCGAACCGAAAACACATTAAAAACTTATATATCAAATCATCCGATATATCAAACTGATTCCCGTTATCGTGCAAGTCCGATGTAGGTGGTTCCGACTTTAGTACGATGCCGTTTGAGCGTTAACTTACGATTGATTGAATTGCGCTTCAGGCCACTGATAAACTGCACACATCTTTTGGAGAGAAGCGACCACGCACCAGCACAAGACGAAATTATTCCAAAATCTGGTCAAAACTGAGCGACATAATCGTTTTTCGTATAGTGTATGGATATTTATTTATAAGGGCAAACGCCGTGTATCCTATAGCTGCAAGGACCATGCTCATATCACGACAAGATCTAAAACTTAAAACCTAATTTCTGTTTGGTAGCCAGTGAGGCACTGAAGAAACAAGCGAAGGTCTTCAAATTATAGATCAATTTGGTTCTGTGAACCAGTGCGACCGCCACAATATAGCTAACACAAATTCAACTTTAAATCAGTCGACAACACAGCCCGTCCTATGCCGAATCTCTATCTTTTTATTTTATTTCCCTGAGTTGACATCTGACCAGTTAATGGCTATCGGTGTCAGTGTCAAAAATCTTCTAATAAAGATATGTACACAAGAAGGACAAAACGCAAGCATAGCAAGTTTCGGGAATCGCGCAAACATCGGGCCAATGGAGCCCCATCATCCTGTGGTGGACGTGCCCTGTCGTGTATACAAAAGCAAACTTAAGATCGGGGAAAAAGAAGGAGAACGTGAGCAGCTGATTCATTTCACCGCGATGAAAGATGGAGCGGTCCTTGGGTACTTTTTACTTTTACTCCTGCATTTCGAGAGGGCCAACTATCAGAAAGATCATTCTCCACGGCCAGACAAACGAGGCGGTTCGGGCAGCGATGCCTCAATAATCGGCCAGCAGCCGCAAGATCACCGCGAAGGAAACAGGACCAACAGGAACGAACGAACGTGAGCGCCGTAATCACGGCAGCTGGAGGTAATTTGATCTGTCATTTGCGCAACTATCAGCCCTGCGCCGCCGCCGCCGCAGTCGGTCGGTCGCTTTCGAGGAGGGGGCGAACGCCGCCGCCGGCCAGTCTAGACGGCCGACGACACGCGTGCATTCGCCGACGCCCCCTCTTCTTCCCAAGGAGCTCGAGAACCGGATGCGTCGTCGTGCAAGCAGTTGGGCCAGCTTTCTTTCGCGGCGATCGCGGTGTGCGCCCTAAAGCAACGTGCGTGGAGCAGCCGGACTCGAACAAGCAAGGCCGGCCCGGAGTCCGAACTCTGAACCCTGGAGAGGAGGCGGAGCAGCAGCAGAAAACGGTGCTTTGACCTCGGCGCCGTTTCGAGCCGTCGCCGACGGGGGCGCGACGGCGCGCCGAGGGCGAGGAGGACTCGCCGGCGCCAGCGGGGTCTCAACAGACGCGCCAGTCGGCGTCTTGCTATGCGCCGAGATCCGTTGTCGGACGACAGCATCTACCGTGTGGGGGCGCGTCGTGTAGAAGCAGCAGTCATGGCCGCCAAGCTGCATCAGAAGCGTGTCTCTTCGGCGGCGGACCCGTGCCCGCGTGTGTAGCGGTGTGGCCCGGCGGCAGCAGTGTGCAGCAGTGGCGACCGTGTGCATGTGGCGCGGTGCTCGCGGGCGGCCGTCGAGCCCCAGAGCCGCCGCCATGGGGGCCGGCGGGGCCGCACTGGGGCGGCGGCGACAGCGACAGCGGTGAGCAGCGCGTCCCGCTCGGCGGCCTGTATGCCACGGCGAGCTGGGACGTCTCGGCGATATGGTGTGCGTTCATGTTCGCCAGTAAGCGGTGCAAATTGGTGAAACGCCTGTGGGAAGAAAGCCGCAACCTGGTGGTGTCGTACTACGCGCCGTCACAGCCGCCGCTATACGCGGCGGCACCGCCGGCGTTCAACTATGAAGCCTTCTGTTCGGTGGAGGACCGCAAGGCCGTCGAGTCGATGCTGAAGCTCCTGGAGGTACCTCAACTGCAGAAGATGCTGCAGGCGGTGCAGACCAAGGGACGCGAGGGATGCGAGTGTCTGTTGTTGCCGTGCGACGACGTCAAGATGCCGCGCGAGGTGGTGGCGCCGCACGTGCTTTGCTGCCGACTCTGGCGCTTTCCCCAGCTCCGGCACCAGTACGAACTGAGGCGCTTGCCCTGGTGCGCGGCCGCCTCGCCACCCGAGGTCTGCTGCAACCCGTACCACTGGAGCATGGTGCAGAAGCCAGGTGAGCTGGAAGCCTCCCCTCCCTATCTCCGCCGCATGATCGGCGCCGGCGCGCAGGGTATATTTATATTTTCCCGCAGTACCGGGAGCGGCGAGAGTGGGCTGCAAGCCATCTGGGCGAGAGCGAAAGCCGCATTGTTCGACTCTCTCGCTTCTCTCTGGAGATGCGACTGCCAAGGAAGGGCCTTGTTCGCTACGCTTCGCATCATATGGGCAACGCGCCTGATACAAGCTGAAGTTTCTTTTGCGATGCCGTTTCCGATACGACATTCTGTTTTTTTTTTTTTTTCGCTCTCGACAGATGGCTTCCAAGCATTATTAGTGAGATCAGCTGGCTTTAAACTGCGCGTGACGAAAGTGGCTTAGAATGGAATAATAGCCGCTACTCTTCTTGAACGTTGGGCTAAAACTCAGTCGAGCGGTGTTTGGGTGCAACGCATATTGATAACGCGCGTTTACGTCTTGACCGCAGAAGGCGTAGTTGTGAAACCTGTTGTTGCCCTATGATCATTCGGGCGTAGAAAACAGCTATTGAAGAGATTCTTGAACGCCATTTACACCGTTTACTACGTGCCAAGCCTCGATCCTCGCCGAATGCTTGCACTGTTGGCACAAGCGGGCAGCTAGCTTGCATGTGACTTTTAGAACTCCGTTCCTTTCGCTGCATATGGCCCCGCAATAAGCGAACTTTCCGAGATCTTGGGAACGGCGAGGTGTGTTGTATAATCGCTTGACGCCGCGATACTTGGTGTTCGTCGTTGGGAGGTAGTGAAACGTTTTGTGGTGTCTATCGCGATAGCTACGCCGCCGGTCACACTATTACATGTATTTTTTTGACCACGTTCGTGGAGCCAGTCGCGCCTTGTGGATATGTTCGTGGTAGCAGTATAGAAAGCTCGTTAACGGCCTTCGGAACAGCAGGCGGCGTTCGCTGGCCCGACTCTCGCGTGTTTGGATAGAAGCTGCTTGCTAGGCGCAGGTGCAGCCAATGGACGCCTCCAAAGCGCCGGACTGCAACGGAATTCGCAAGCTGTCGTGGCTGCTAGCCAGCTCAGCGGCGGCACTACGAGCAAGCATTGGCAGCGCGCTCTCAAACCCACATGTTTTGCAGCTCGCGACGCTGCTTGTCAGCGAAGACTGCGCCAAAGTTCTGAAGAAGGGAAAACGCGGCAAACATTTACGGCGGCTTGAAGCCTGTTTCGCGCGGAAGTCTCGAGTGTGTATTTTGGAACCGAATTCGGTTCGTTCCTAAAAGCAGAAAAAAGGGTTCGTTTCGATTTCGCGCAGTTGCGTGCGTTTTACAACCTTTCCAAACGTGAATATATGTGCGCGTCTGCCTTTTTTTACGTTTTCCCCATCTTTTTCCAAGCGCAAGGAAGAAGCTTAGAGTAAGCGCTTTTTTACCGTCTTGGCATAGACGAGTCAAGACGCTTGGCCTCGGCTTAGACCTCGCTCGCCCGAGGAGACTGTTGTTCCGCGGGAACACGCGTATATTATACACGACGGGAAACGGAAGGAACGAAAATAAGTGAGACAAGAAAGAACTGCCTCACGGACGCAGCGACGGCGAAAACAAATAACAAAGTGCCCCTGACGTTGGCTGAGCAAGCGGCTTCTAAACATGGCGACCAAGGCGACTCGCTCGCTGCACTTTTCCGTCGTAGTGTGCCGACTTGGGCGGCGGCTGTGGCAGCGTTCACAGAATGTGTGTGTGTGTGTGTGGTGTGTGTGTGTGTGTGTGTGTGTGTGTGTGGTGTGTGTTGACGTTCATTTTCTGGCAACATAGAGGAATACTATAGCAATAATGAAAGGGTGGTAGGTATCGTAATTAAACTGAATAAAAGATACAAGATGAAGGTAGTACAGGCTTACGCGCCTACATCCAGCCATGAATGACGCTTCAGTTGAAAGCTTCTATGAAACTTGGAATCGGCAATGAGTAAGGTAAACACAGTATACTATAGTGAGGGGCGACTTCAATGCAAAGGTAGGGAGAAGCAGGCTGGAGACCAGGCAGTAAGAGATTATGGCATCGGTACTAGAAACGCCAGAGGAGAGCTACTAGTAGAGTTCGCAGAACGCAAGAATTTACGGATTTTGAATACCTTCTACCGAAAACGAAGAAACCGCAAGTGGACATGGAGGAGCTGTAATGGCGAAAATAAGAACGAAATAGACTTTATAATGAGTGCTCACCCAGGAATCGGGCAGGATGTGGAAGTGGTTGGCAAGGTACGATGCAGTGACCATAGAATGGTACGGTCTCGAATTCGCCTAGACTTGAAGAAGGAACGACAGAAACTGATACGCAAGAAGCCAATCAATGAGCTAGCACTGAGAGGGAAAATACAGGAATTCAGAGTGTCGCTGCAGAACTGGTACTCGGCTCTTAGTGAGGAAACCAACCTTAGTGTAGATACAATAAATGATAATCTGACGAGTATCATTACGGAGTGTGCAGTGGAATGGAGGCAGGGTAGTTAGACAGGACACTGGCAAGCTTTCCCAGGAAACGAAGAACCTAATTAAGAAGCGTCAAATCATATAAGTGTCAAGTATAACAGACAAAATAAAACTGGCAAAGCTTTCGAAGTTGATTAATAGACGTAGGGTATGCGATGTAAGAAGGTATAACATGGAGAGAACAATCGACCACATTCATACTATCAATCAGGTAATAGAGAAATGCTCAGATTATAACCAACCATTATACATAGCCTTCATATATTACGAGAAGGCGTTTGATTCAGTAGAAATATCAGCCATCATGCGGACATTTCGTAATCAGGGTGTTGAAGAAGTATATATAAACATCCTGGAAGAAATCTACAGGCGATCAACAGCTACCATAGTGCTTCTTAAAGAAAGCAACAGAATACCAATCAAGAAGGGTGTAAGGCAGGGCCACGCAATCTCCCCAATGCTATTTACCGCGTACTTACAGAAGGTTTTCAGAAGCCTAGAATGGGAAAAGTTAGGCATAATAGTTAATGGAGAGTACCTTAGTAACCTGTGCTTCGCCGATGACATTCCGTTGCTGAGTAACTCAGGGGACGGATTGCAACTCATGATTACCAAATTAGACAAGGAGAGCAGAAAGGTGGGTCTCAAAATTAATCTACAGAAAACGAAAGTAATGTACAACAACCTCGGAAAGGAGCAGCGCTTCGATATAGGTAATAGTGCACTTGAAGTTGTAAAGGATTATGTCTACGTAGGGGCAGTAATAATCGCAGAGCCGAACCACGAGATTGAAGTAACTAGAAGAATAAGAATGGGGTGGAGCACATTCGGCAAGCACTCTCAAATTATGACAGGTAGATTGCCACTATCCCTCAAGAGGAAGGTATATAACAGCTGTATCTTGCTGGTACTTAGCTACGGAGCAGAAACCTGGAGACTTACAAAGAGGGTTCAGCTTAAATTGAGGACGACGCAGCGAGCAATGGAAAGAAAAATGGTAGGCGCAACCTTAAGAGACAAGAAGAGAGCAGAGTGGATTAGGAAACAAACGGGGGTTAAGGATATCATAGCTGAAATCAAGAAGAAGAAATGGACATGGGCAGGGCATGTAGCGCGTAGACAGGATAACCGCTGGTCATTAAGGGTAACTGACTGGATTCCCAGAGAATGGAAGCGGGTTAGGGGGAGACAGAAGGTTAGGTGGGCAGATGAGATTAACAAGTTTGCGGGTATAAATTGGCAGCAGCAGGCACAGGACCGGGTTAACTGGCGGAACATGGGAGAGGCCTTTGTCCTGCAGTGGACGTAGTCAGGCTGATAGTGATGATGATGAATCGTGGCTTCGCTGCTGGTGCGCCCCTGTCGTCTAGAGAGAAATCGCCGACGGGTTTTATTTTATCCCATTTCGAACTCGCGTTATTTTGAAAAGCAGTGACAAAGTGTTTTACTAAGCTATTTACTAGCTGCGAGCCACCTATATCCTGTAGTCGTTGATCTGTTCACTATAGTGGTTGATTGACAATGACCAATCCTCGTGAGTTTTTCCAGCGTTCGTACTCCTGCTCTCTGCTGGTTAGTGCGTGCAGTGATGCAAAGAAGCGCGCTCTCTGGGGTATCCCTGGGAGCGTGGGATCCCCTGACTTGCCAAGTCAAGACGCGCTGTTCTAAATCGTGCACTAAGGTACGTCGCTCACGATGCAAGCCAGTTTCTATTTGCGGATGCTCTTTCAGTTCTGCAATGCGTTTTTATTATGCCAAGGAGTGCTTCGCTGGAAACGGAAGACATGGCTGATCTTTTGCCGAAGGTTCAACGCGTTTGTCGCACGCTGGTCGCGTCACACGATATGATGTTCTGCACTCTGGGACAACTTGTGCGGCTACAAAGCGAATGGGACGAAGAGCGGAGCTTCTTTTGTTTTTTTTTTGTTTTTTTTTTGAGCGTGTGTTACTGCACCAACTTATATCCGACCACCTGAGGATCTTTAAATATACTCAGATGATGGAAATTTCTGGAGCCCTACACTGCGGCGTAGTTTTTGGACGTAAAACCCCGAGAATTACTGGTTTCGGCGTACCTCTCCAACATTGGCGGAAGTGTTCAGCCAGCACTGTTTCGAATGTGTCCTCTGTGTTTTGACGAGCAACCGTGCTGTGAAGAATTGTTTTCCGTTCTAGGTGTATTTTGCGTGAAGTGCGTGCTGTTACTGCCGTAGTGTTGGCACTGATGAGCCGTGCTGGCAGAGAGAGAGAGAGAGAGAGAACGTTTTATTTAAACACATATAGTGTACGTGCAGAGTGCGAAAAAATGTCGCGCGTTAAAAGGGGCAACAGCAAAATAGTTTGCATTCAGCTGTCGGCCGTGACTGGCGCCGAAGTTGGCCCGACTTTTAGTTGTTCCGCGGAGAAGCGCATTGTTAAAAGAGTGATCGAATCCTGATTCCAAATGTAAATTGATGAAGCATCCCTCTAAAGGCATCCTACGGTCTTCTAGCAAGTTTTTTCTTTGTTTTTCGTACCTCCTTTCTCGCTCGCTGTGCG